CAAAATTGTCCACATTTATTTGTTTTTGTGAGAATCCAAATATTCAACATCATCAAATCTTGATAAGAAATAGAGAGAAATATAATAAAGAGGAATTCAGGACTAATACAAAAGCCCAATACAGTAATCATCTTCCGATATCAAGATCAAAACGTATGAACATCATAATCACCAGTTACAAACCTTCAAAAACAAAAACAAAAATAGAAAATAAATTTATAAAAATGATATTTTATAATTTGAGAGTGAAACAAATAAGACCATTAAGCAACTGACAGACTGACCATCCAATCTCTTACAATACAAAGAAGAAGAAACAGAAAACCCAATTGAGATTATTACCCAAATCTGATGAATCTTTAGGTCCAAAGAAGAGAGAGAATAGTCAAAATCAAAAAGAAACCACTCCAAAAGTTGATACTATTCAAATGAAAAAACAAAGACAACCCACAAAGAAAAAAAAGCCCCCAAAACATCCCAGGAATTTATAGACAATTGATCTGGTGACTTGTGAGTCCACAAGATCCTCAATAGTAATTTCATTTTCCGAAACAGTAAACAAGATCCTCAATAGAAAAGTGAAGAAACTGAACCTTCTGAGCAATCTGAGATTGCTTGTGGACTTCACGAGCCTCTTTCTTTCGTTTGCGCTCGAAATGATCATGGCGATAGCCATTTCTCTTCCTGTGAAGTTCTATGTAATCTCCTTGAGGCTTAACAAATCTTAAGAGATTAGGGATTTTTGGTTTTGGGCCCCCGGGGGGGAATGGAAAAAAAAAAGCGGGAATGAAAAAAAAAAGAGAGGGAGACGGGGGTGGATAAAAAAAAATTAAAATCTTTTTTTTTAAGGTCTCAAATAAAACTTAAACAACAAAACAATGTCGTTTAAATTTTTTTTTTGTGACGAGGGTTGCTGTCGCTAAAAAATTTTATTTTTTGTTAAAATAATTTTTTTTTTTGGTAGTTAATGAAAAAAAATTCATTTTTATTTTAATTACAAAAATATTATTATTATTTTTTATTTGGTAGAAGTAGGGGTAATATTTTAATGAAATATATTTTTCACTAAAATAAAGTTAATTTTCTGTGGTCAATGAAAAATATTTTTCTATGGCCTATTTTTTTTGGTTACTAAAAATCATGAACTATTTTTTTGTGGTAGAGGAAAGTTATGAATTTTTGTTACGAATCTATGAAAATAAATAAAAACTTCTTTCAACAGTGAATTTAAAAAATCCCCAATTCAGATTGAGCCTAAAATAACAATGTGTCCGAATTTATCTTTCGAAAACCAACAATCAAACAAAGGTTAAATATAACATACTGAGATAAAAGAACATGAAAATTACTAAATTTAATAAGACGATTAAATTATGAATTTTTGTTACGAATCTATGAAAATGTCCTTTATGATCCTTTATGATCCATCATTTTTAATCCAGCTCCAATCGAAGTATTACTTACATATATATGACATTGACCATCTAAGTAAAAACACCTATAAAATAATCAATTGAATCGATAGACTGGTTCATCATTAAAAAACTTAGTCATTTAAAAAATTAGCAATAACACTTCAGTAATGCATCAACAGAGAAAACCAAAAATATATATACACAACAGATTCCCAAATCCCATTCATGGCACATTCATCAAATTCATTATAAGAAGGCATTATATATTCTTAAAAGAATAAAGCATGGCAGATTGAGTATTAAAAAAATATATATATATTTAAACTTTTTTGTGTAATGTTGGTATAGACTGTGCATGCATATTGTGTACATGGGTTGCACACCTTTGGTACATTCTAATGGAGTATTTTATCTATGAAAAAGAGGGATAAGATAGGGGTCCTTACCTTGCCTTTAATTCCACAGTCATGGACTGTTGAATGGCTTGTGATTGAGCAATATGAGGGCATTTTCAAACATTTAATGCTGTTCTAAATTTTTAATTCTAGAAAATTAGCCTTTTCATATAGCATATGCCAATCAATTGCATTAAACATATGCATAAGCTCCCTAATTTTCATATGCCTGCAGCAAGCATGCCATTGACAAAACAGTTGACCGTAATCATAAAGAAAGAGAGAGAGGGAGCATTAGAACCTGAGATTTGAAGGGAAATCACGATTTCCTCCGAATGTGAAATACAACAGAGAGGGAGCAAAATTACCATGAATGCTCCAAGTAAGCATAGTTTAGGCCAGCAGTGTAATTTATCTATATAAAAAAAAAGAAATGAAACGTTCACATAATATATAACTATGAAATGTGATGGTTTTTCAGGGCCATAAAAAAGTCAAATTGCTATCACATTAGAAGTCGTGAAGCTCAATGCAGTTTTTCCAATAACCCATACATGATTAGGTTGGGAATTGTTGAGATTTTTCTGTCTCAAATCCCAGACTTTCACAAGCTCTTAATGTTGTCCATTGTTGCAGCATTCATGTAGACCAAAGTTATCGTCCCAGTAATATGTTCATACTCATTCAGAAACTGATTAAAGATACAATTTGTTCTCAGAATGGGATTAAAGTAAAATTGAATCAATTTCTCCAGATTGAAGGCTTCAAGGCATTCAAAATGAAAGATTCTAAAATAAATACATTTTTTTATAAACAGATCTAAAATAAATAATTTTTTTTTTTATAAACAGATCTAAAAATAAACAGATCTAAAATAAAAATATATAAACAAATATATTTATATATATATATATATAAAATAAATTTAGAGAAAAAAAAAATAGAGTTTGAAGAAAATCCTAGATCGAAGCCCTAGATCGAAATAAAATTTTTTAAAACATATGTTTCCACTTGGAATTAGATTTGAATAAATAGTTGTAAGCCTTATAGACTACAATACGAAATAGTAATCAATAATATGAACCTAGATAACATATTTACTAACCTGCAGCTCTAAGCATCTCCTGCAGAATAAAAATAAAAACATTATTAGTGATCAGAGACGTATGAGCTTTAGAACATGGGAGTGAACAATAATGCATCTGTCACCTTAGTCATACAGTCATTATATAGCGACCCCGGTCTTCTCCCATTTGATTATTGTATCCGGACTTAGGTTCCGTAGATTCTGTCATTGTATAATTGTTGTTGTTGTCCCTTATTTGCTCATTTGGACTTATAGGATGTGTTGGGCAGGTTTGTTTCAGGTTGGTTGGGTTTAGAAACCAAGTGTTGCTGTCCAGAATTTTGGATCTTCGCTCGAGCTAGGAGTTTGTCGCTCGAGCGAGATGTCATTTTGGTTCTTCGCTCGAGCAGGGGTTTGGTAGCTCGAGCGAGAGGTTGCGTCTGATTTGGACCTGTAGCTGTGCATTCTTGGCTCGAGCGACCTTTTCTTCGCTCGAGCGTGTTAGTTTGTTCTTCGCCCGAGCAATAGTTCCTTCGCTCGAGCGTGTGTCTGGTTTCAGACCTGAGGGTTTGAGTTCTTCGCTCGATCGAGTTTTCTTTCGCTCAAGCGAGCTTTTGGATTGTTGGCTCGAGCAAGGCTTCCTTGGCTCGAGCGTTGCTTTTCTGTGTCTGGTCGCTCGAGCGAGCTTGTCCAGTTTATATACACAGCAGCGGGTTTTGATCAGTCTTTTTGATTTTTATTTTAATTAAAAAAATATTATTATTATTTTTTATTTCGTAGAAGTAGGGGTAATATTTTAATGAAAAATATTTTTCACTAAAATAAAAGTTAATTTTCTATGGTCAATGAAAAATATTTTTCTACAGCCTATTTTTTTTTGTTACTAAAAATTATGAACTATTTTTTTGTGGTAGAGGAAAGAGAGCGACATTAGTGGTGGAGGTGGTGGATAAGAGATGATGGTGGTGGTGGTAGTGATGGTGAAAGATATTAGTGGTGAAATTGTGGTAGTGGTAGTGTAGATGGAGTGGTAGAGGTGAAGGAGAGGTAATGGTATGAGGGCATTTTCAAACATTTAATGCTGTTCTAAATTTTTAATTCTAGAAAATTAGCCTTTTCATATAGCATATGCCAATCAATTGCATTAAACATATGCATAAGCTCCCTAATTTGAATGTCTGTGTCTGTGTCAAACCTAAACAAAAATCAAGCATATATATATCTAGGGACAAAATCGTAATTTCAGTTAGGGGACTAAGCGGGGCGGTGGCGGTGCCGGGGCCGGGAGGCGGCGCCGAGGCCGGGTCTGAAACACCTATCCCCGTCCCCGGCCCGGATATCATCAGGGATGAATTTTTGAATACCATTCCCGGCCCGTAGGGGATATTTTTCGGTAAATAACCACTGAATTCGGGGTCGGGGGCTCGAGTCACCGTCGGGCCGGTTTCAGATTGCCATCCCTAGATGTGGGTAAGGATGAGGCATGTTTGGGCGGGAAGGTATATATTTAGGATTGATATAAAATTAAAGGGGTTATCTGAGCCATTTATGTGAATACACAAATGAATCCTGACTCTTGAAATGTCCTAGTAGGACAATTGTGTCTAACACATTTTCAAAATTCGTTCTGCTTTATTAGATAGATTTGTTAATTTTATGATATTTTTACCATTATTTTCAGTTTTTAATTTATATTTACAAAAATTTTAAAAAATGTCATAAAAACTTGCTCGATACTTTTTTATATTTACAAAAATTTAAAAATTTTACTAATAAATTTTTTTTTTTATGGGAACATCATTTTCAGGTTCAGGTGATAAGCTACCTCCAAGGACTTAGCTTGGAAGGGACTTGGATTCTGAAGACTTTCTTTAGTTAATTGTCTTTATTTATTATTACATGTAAACATCTAAGCCTAGGGCTTCTCTTGCATTGAGTTAGAACTCATCTTTTTGTATCCAAGTGTTGGCTTGGAAAGATGTAAGCCTGTAGGGCATTTTATTCGATGTTACATGTAATGCTTTTATTTAGTAATACTCTGATGAATGAATTAATAAAATGTTTTAATTAAATAATGCATGTCAATGAGATATTTAATGGGTTTATTTTGAGGGCGTTACACATTAACACTGGATGATCTTGCACAACCTGACTTCAGCACCACTTGCAACTACATCATTATCAGGAAGAAAAAAAAAATGATTCCCCCAATTGCAGAGTATATGAATGAACCAGTAAGTTCTGATCAAATCATCAAAACACCATAAAAAATAAAGATAGGTAGATAATCAAGTCAGAAAATCAGAAAATAAATCATCAAAACACCATAATAAATGAACCAGAGTATATGAATTGGAAGCAAGAACAGGGAGATAATCAGAAAATACCGACAGAGGGAAAATCTGAAAATAAATCGTCCTGTTTTCTGCTTTCTCTGCAAGCCTTTGAAGCCGAAATCTGAAATTTCAAGTCAAAATTAATTTCAGAACATGAGACCAAAGATGAGCAAGCAAACGATTTTTTTTTCTTGCATTGCCGAAGAATATTAGTTTCAAATCTTCCTATATAAATTTCTGAAAGGGAGAGAGTTTTAGAAGTAAACCCAAATTGACTACCAGAGTGATCTTACCCCCTCCCTCTCTCTATCGTCCCTCTTTCCTTCTCCTCTTCATCGAAATATTCCAAAAATAATCGTTATCTGATGACTTGCGCATCTAAGCCTAATTGGCCAGAGATTATATACCATTAATTTCAGAACATGAGACCAAAGATGAGCAAGCAAACGATCAAAATTAATTTCAGAACATGAGACCAAAGATGAGCAAGCAAACGATTTTTTTTTCTTGCATTGCCGAAGAATATTAGTTTCAAATCTTCCTATATAAATTTCTGAAAGGGAGAGAGTTTTAGAAGTAAACCCAAATTGACTACTAGAGTGATCTTAATACAATCTCTGCCAATTTATTTTTCTAGGTTTTCTTTCTCAAAACCCCCAAAAAGAGAATTTTACCTTGCGATCAGAGGAAGTCGGAAACTCCAAGGCGAATCTGTGGTTGAAGGCGAATCTGCGAATCTGTGGTTGAAGGCGAATTTGTGCATTCTGCTTTCTCTGCAAGCCTTTGAAGCCGAAATCTGAATTAATTTCTATATGTTTTGTTTACACTGTGATCATGCCGAACCACCAGAGAGGCTCCAGAAGGTACGAATAGCCACCAACACCTAATTAAAATCAAATCAAAGACAAACCCATTTGAGAAAATCCAAAACCCAAAAAAGGAAAATCCATAAATTCAGAGAACATCAAAAGAAAATGAGATCAAAAAAAAAAACAAAAAAAAAATCACTAGCTCCGACACCAGAAACAGCAGCAGCTTTTTTGAGGCCTTTCTTCTTGATAATGAAGCTCGCTTTTCTGAGGCCTTTCTTCTTGATAATGAAGCTCGCTCCTATAAACACACTTGAAGAAATCCTGTGGAGAGAGAGAGAGATAAAGAGGGATGGAGGGGAGACGTGATTTGCCTGGAGAAAATCAGAAAATAAATCATCAAAACACCATAATAAATGAACCAGAGTATATGAATTAGAAGCAAGAACAGAGAGATAATCAAAAAATACCGACAGAGGGAAAATCTGAAAATAAATCGTTCTGTTTTCTGCTTTCTCTGCAAGCCTTTGAAGCCGAAATCTGAAATTTCAAGTCAAAATTAATTTCAGAACATGAGACCAAAGATGAGCAAGCAAACGATTTTTTTTTTCTTGCATTGCCGAAGAAATAGCCAACATAAACCCAATCAGATTGTCTTTGGAGAAACCCATTATTGATTCTCTCTCTCTCTCTCTCTCTCCCCCCCTCCCTCTCTCTATCGTCCCTCTTTCCTTCTCATCTTCATCGAAATATTCCAAAAATAATCATTATCTGATGACTTGCGCATCTAACCCTAATTGGCCAGAGATTATATACCATTAATTTCAGAACATGAGACCAAAGATGAGCAAGCAAACGATTTTTTTTTCTTGCATTGCCAAAGAATATTAGTTTCAAATCTTCCTATATAAATTTCTGAAAGGGAGAGAGTTTTAGAAGTAAACCCAAATTGACTACTAGAGTGATCTTAATACAATCTCTACCAATTTATTTTTCTAGGTTTTCTTTCTCAAAACCCCCAAAAAGAGAATTTTACCTTGAGATCAGAGGAAGTCGGAAACTAAAAGGCGAATCTGTGGTTGAAGGCGAATCTGTGCGTTCTGCTTTCTCTGCAAGCCCTTGAAGCCGAAATCTGAATTAATTTCTATATATTTTGTTTACACAGTGATCATGCCGAACCACCAGAGAGGCTCCAGAAGGTACGAATAGCCACCAACACCTAATTAAAATCAAATCAAAGACAAACCCATTTGAGAAAATCCAAAACCCAAAAAAGGAAAATCCATAAATTTACTATAACTCGCAAGATTTTGACCAAATAAAAGATGACCAATATTTATAGTCCTCCTACAAGAATACAAGCTGATAATAAAAATACGCACACAGTACAGTTTGCATCTTTATTTTATCTAGATGGAGTTTTAAATTATTGATGGAAAAGTTGTGTTATATATTAAAAAAAGAATAAATTTTCATTTGTAAATATGATCGAAAATCTTATTCTCATGCCAAACACAATCACCACGAAACATTTTCACGTTATAGACACGTTTAGGACACGCACGGGGGCAATTTCACAATTTACTAAATATTTTTGGGGTCGATTTGTAACTAAGCAAAAACAGATCTGCGATTTTGCCCTAATCTACTTCCAACTACTTTGAAGAGTAGATAAACGGCAGAGAAAGGGTGAGAGAGAGCACCTGACTTCGTTGTTCGTCGTTCGTCTTCGTCTTCTCTCCTCGTCGATCGTCGCTCCTCGTCGGGTGTCTGTCGTCGGTCGTCTATCGTCGATCGTCTCTCGCCCTTCGGCGATCTGCGATCTTCATTCTTCGTCGATCGTCAGTCGCTCTCTCTCTCTCTCTCTCTCTCTCTCTCCCTCTGCTCTTCTTTCCTCAGACGATCGAACTCGTCTGATTTTATCATATTTTTTTCTTTTATTTTTTTTTCTTTTATTCTGATTTTAGTTTTATTTTTCTCTTTAATTTTTTTTTTCTTTTTTCTGATTTTAATTTAATATAGTTTTTTCTTTTATTTTATTTTTTATTTTATTCTGATTTTATTTCATTTTTTCTTTTCTATTATTTGAGTATATAATTTTAATAATGTATGTTTATTAATTTTATTATAGGAAATTTTGAAACAATTTTATTTTGTATATTTTATTACCTTTATTTGATTTTTTTAATAATTTTATGACATATAACAAATGAAATTAATTATATGTACTGAACGTGTCCCCAACGTGTCGTGTCCCCTATTTTTTTAAAATTTACGTTTTTGCGTGTCCGTGTCGTGTCGTGTGTCCGTGTCCGTGCTTTATTGGGCCATGCATACCAAGAACTGGCAGGAATAGCAACAAACTCCTTTCCCTGCAGCATTAGTAGGTAGTATGTGGCAGACTGTGCACCCTCAAGGTGACCATGGTACTGAGATTGGCCCGTTTCATCATCCAATAGCCAAGGCTTATTCTTGTATTTTTCCTATGCAATGGAATTACACAATGACGCGAATTAGTGAGCAATGCAAAATACCTAATTAACATGACTAAAAGTATACAAATTTAAACAAACTATAAAGCAATGAAAGACCAGAACAATCAAAACCTGTTAAACAGACAATGGATTTCATGCAAATGCCAAATAAAATAGTCAACATTGAAATATAGCAAGGTAATACATCTGCTTTTGGAGGGTCAATACTCATCAGTGAAATATAACAAGGTAATAAATATAGCAAGATCAAAAGTTCAAGCCTTTGTCTTATTGATTTAGGTATATGGATGTGGTATTCATGGCATCAAGGCCCACGTAGAATTGAAAAGGTATTTTTTAACAACAGCTTAAGTCCTTGTTTATCTAATGGATTCACGTTCACCATAAAGACCACTTTTCTATGGATAATGATGTTCACTTGTATTCAGCCTCTCATCTTCTAAAACACAACAAATTCAAGTTTAGATTATTGCTTGGGAAAACTAAAGAAATTGATGTTTATCATCCAAGATTCAATTGGGTTAATTCCGTGCTTTAAAAGGAAAAAAAGGGGACAACTACTATTCAGGTCAACTGCATAAGATTAATACCGTCCAAAGTGATTTGTTTCACTTGGTGAAGCCAAAAGTCATTGCTTGTAATGCTCAATACTTAAAAAAAATAAAGGACTCTGATCGAACTAAACTGAATAACAATAGTAATAAACGGGATTTTAGTCTTTAATGGTGAAGGTAAAAATCACTCCTCATAATGGAGCCATGGAATAAAAATGCATTTAATTTACTATAACTCGCAAGATTTTGACCAAATAAAAGATGACCAATATTTATAGTCCTCCTACAAGAATACAAGCTGATAATAAAAATACGCACACAGTACAGTTTGCATCCTTAATTTATCTAGATGGAGTTTTAAATTATTGATGGAAAAGTTGTGTTATATATTAAAAAAAGAATAAATTTTCATTTGTAAATATGATCGAAAATCTTATTCTCATGCCAAACACAATCACCACGAAACATTTTCTGGATGTGTCAAAAGAAGATGAACAAGGCATTGCTTGGACATAATCTGGTCTCCAAAGACCTCTTCAATTACTCCAGTTCCGTTGGGGAACCGCATCACTTGATGATAGGATAATGCTACTGATTTCATGGCATGGAGCCATGTTCTTCCCAAGATTATGTTGTAAGTGGAAGGGACTTTCAATACCCAAAATTCCACTTGCTTTGTCACGCTTCCTGCCCTGACTGGCAGGATAATTTTGCCGACTAGCCATTCTGGCATTGAGTTGAATCTGATCAGGGGGGATACAGTCGGTGCCAGGTCTTTGTCCTCCAATTTCAGTTGTTTGAAGGTGTCGTAGTACATTATCTCACACGAGCTGCCTTGGTCTATCAGAATTCGTTTGACGTCATAATCCTTGATGCGGAGGGTGACGACCAATGCATCGTTGTGAGGGCAATATATTCTTTCCAAGTCCTTGTCTGAAAAAGACATGATGTTCGTGGCCTCTGTTCTCTCATTTTTGATGGTAGGTTGGGCACTTAGCACCTCCCTTAAGTGCTCAGCCTTTTTGATCGACCCTCTGAGCTCGCATACACGCTCAGGTTCGAATACTCCATGTATCACATTGATCACTCCTTGAGGTGGGGCGTCAATTGGCATTCCATTGGGGTTATTGTGGTCCTGGGGGGCTGGTTGTGTCCCTCCTTCAATGTATTTATCCAAGTGACCGGCTGCCACCAACTCCTTCAGATGCTGTCTCAATGGCATACAATTTTCAGTGCGGTGCCCCTTTTCTTTGTGGAAGGTGCATCGTGACCTTTCGTCGTAGTCTTTCTGTGCTTCTCCTAGCTTAGCTGGTCATCTGACGAAAGGTTCATCGCGTATTTCACTCAGAATCCGGTAGATCAGTTTCTTGAATACCGTGGTTATGGCAGTGCAGATTCTCAACCATCTTTTATCCTGGTCCTCTCCGTTGTCTCGCCTGCCTCGTCCGTTTTTGTTCGGACGTTCTACCGCGTTGATCTTTGCTGTGGTCTTCTTATCTGGTACTGTGGTCGTGCCAGATTTTTTTTTGGCACGGGCATCATCCTTTTCTACCCTGATGTGCCGATGCACTTTTTCCATCAAGGCTTCCATGGTGAGGGGCGGTGTCATGGTGATTGAGTCCCTTAGTCTGTTTTCGACTGGAAGGCCTTTTTTGTACTGTGCAATGGCGAGATTGGTGGGGCAGTCCCCAATCTGGTTGAATGTCTCCCAGTAGCGACTATTGTAGGATCTTAGTGTCTCCTTTTCACCCATGTCGATGGAGAGTAACTGGTCAATCTCTACCGAGGTTTTAGTGTTCGTTCTGAACCTCGTGACGAATGCCTCCGCTAACTGTGCCCAGGAGGCTATGCTGCCTTCTGGAAGTTTTTCGAACCAAGTTAAGCCTAGGTCACCAAGGCTTGGCGGGAAGAGGATGCACATCAAAGCTTCGTTTCGCCGATATACCGCCATAACCTGGCGGAAGTGGCTTAGGTGTATGTAGGGGTCTGTCTTCCCCTCGTACGTGGTGAATTTGGGTTGAAGGAAACCTGAAGGAAGGGGCGCGCTTTCAATTGCCGGGACGAACGGCGATGTCTGCAGCCTTGCTAATGCTTTGTCCGTTGGTTCGTAGGCAGGGCGTGGCGACGGCATTCCGACCTCGATCCTTCCATGCGTCCGAGGAGCCAACCGCTGAAGGGCAAATACCCTGCGAGGGTTGCGCGCCCTAGTATCCTCCTTTCTTCGTGCCTTTTTTTCCAACATGTTCTGCAAATCGGACGATCTTGGTAACTCCGTCTGCCTGGATGATGTCTGGTGCGAGCGCGAGGGTCGATAGGTACTTCCTTCCGTGTAAGACCTCAATGATCTCGTTCTCTCAGCCTTGGAGAAACGAGTCTTGGAGGTTTTGGATTGAGTATCGCCTGTCCTGAGGCTTCTACTCTCTGCTTGTGATGGTATGGAATGCCTTCCATGGTCTTCTGAAGGGCGAGGGGGCGTCTTGCTTTTGCGCCCCTCTCCTGTCGCCACTCCTTTTCCCTTCAACTGGTGTTTCATGGCCTCCATGTCCACCGCCATCTTCCTTATTAAT